GCCCCCTTAGTTATTTTTCTTATTGCTGGGACAAAATACTTGACACCCACAAGTTAAAGGGGGAAAGGTTTATTTTGGCTCAGTCTGTAGAGGCTTCAGTCCATAGTTGGCTGGCTTCAACGCAGGGCAGCATGGCAGAGGGACATCGGAGGAGAAATAGTAAATGGCAGGGCAGAGAGGAGGTAGAAAGCAGAGAGCCTCACTTTCCCTTTTTATCCCACCCACACTACAAGCCTATTGGGTGGTGTCACACACACCCACAACTATGTTAAACCAATCAGTGGATTGATTTAGTAATTATGCGCTTAATCCATATTCATACACCCTAGATGCAGCCATCTCTGAAAACCCATCCTATGAGCGCATGAGGCTTGGGGCTAGGGAATGGGACATCCAGATACAAGCCATAAGACACACATTTAAGAGATATACAACACACACAGCAAAGCCAACACTAATTGTCAGAGTTGGAGTTACAGATGAGGAAAAGTGGAGAAAGGGCTTTGTTACAGGGAGAGATGAAACTCTATAAATGGGACTCTAATGTTTTCCTCTTAACCTGGCAATAAGTAAAGGGGTATCTGGCTAGAGTGTTCCTTGTGCTTTCTAATACACACACACACCTCAAGGAGTACTTAAGAAGAAGGATACTAGCTAGGCATGGTGGTGCACACCTGCCATCCCAGTACTAGGGAGGCTGAAGCAGGAGGATCACCACAAGGTCAGGCCAGCCTGGGCTACACAGTGAGACTTTGTCTAAAAAACACAATAAAGAAAGTATGGTCACCTGGGATGGCGTCCATGAGAGGGACAGATGAGCTGAGTCACGAGGAGAGGGAGGGACATTCTAGGCAGAGGGGACAGCAGCTGCAAAGCTCTTCGGCAGGAAGGGACTTGTGTGCTGACAGAATGGAGATAAGGACAGCAGGGCAGGCCTGAGAGGTGAGCCAAGGCCACTAAGCAGGGCTCCTAAGATCTTCCTAAATAGAGTAACCCTTGAAGGTTTTAAGCAGAGTAATGATATGACTGGTTTACAGCTGAAGATTATTTTAGCTAGTTGCATGAAGAACGCATTATGAACAGCACCACACACCTAATGCTTGGGCTGATAAACTTTTCAGGTGGTATAAAAGGGAACAAACTGGGGGAAATTCCATAATACAAAAGTAACCACAGCCAGGCGTGATGGCGCAGGCCTGTAATCCCAGCACTCAGGAGGCTGAGGCAGGAGGATCACTGTGAGTTCAAGACCAGCCTGGACTACATAGTGAGTTCCAGGTCAGTCACAACTACACAGTGAGACCCTGTCTCAAACAAACAAACAAACAAACAAAAAAACAAAAGTAAAACTGCAAATTTACAATGAATAATTCCAGGGGGCAGGGCTGAGCCAGGGTCTTGCTATGTAGCCCAGGCTGGCCTTGAACTCACCAAGAACCTTCTGCCCCAGCCTCCCTAGTGTTGGGACTATAGGTTTTGTTTGTTTTTGGCATTGGGGCTCAAACTCAGGCCCTTGCACTTACAAGGCAGGTGGCGGAATCACTGAGCCAAATCCCCGGTCCTTGTTTTGTTTTTTAAAGACAGGATCTCACTATGTAGCTCAGGCCTCAAATTCAGAGACCCTCCTGCCTCAGCCTCCTGAGGTGTAACACCACACCTTGCTAGAACGAATGAATGTTTAAATGGCTAAAAAACATACTATGATAGTTTCATTCATCATTAAATTTAATATACATAAACAGTCAAATTCTACTTGAAAATAATTTGGAAATAGATTGCCTTGATCACAAAAGTTTCCAAATATGTCTAAGATTGCTAAGAAATCAAGTCAATTATAAATGTGAATCTTCTTTCAGCCTACTGCAAAAGAAAGATTTTTTTTTTTTTTTTTTTTTGTACTGGGGATGGAACTGAAGACCTTGTGCTTGAAAGGCAGATGGCTGAAACACTGAGCTAAATCTCTGGCCTGAAAAATATTTTTTTTAACAGCCAAAAGACAGTCTTTTAAACTTAATGTGAGATGCAGATATGAAATGCTATAAAAAATGCCTGGCACAAAAAAGTCTTACGACTAGTAAGGCCACAGAGGTGACCAGGTGAGAACGAGGTGGGTCAGATCTGGACGAGGCTCAGGGGACACTGGGAGAAGGCTAAGGATGGGATCTTGGACCAGAGAGGCCTAATGACAAGGCAGCAACCATGCCAAGAGCTGCAAGAAGTCTGTGCCTTTTTAAAACGGGGTCTCACTATGCAGTCCAGGCTGGCTTTGAACTCACTAGTGTAGCACACAGGCTGGCCTTGAACTCATGGCAATCTTCCTGCCTCAGCCTCCCAAGTGCTAGGATGACAGGCATATGCCACCATGCTGGGAGGTTTGGGGCAGAACTTTTACACTAGGAGTTGCCTGATAGATATGTACAGAAAAGGTTAGTTCAACTAGTTTGAAGTTGGGGCTGAGTGGCTAACAGGAAACGACGTGCAGGGGTTTACTTGTGGGCAGAGTTCTCATCCTGGCTATGACCTGATGAATCTTTCCTATCTTCCCTCCCACAACACAGTAGCCTCTTGTCACAGGGAATTGTGACTGAGGCTAGTACAAAAGTAAAATGGGACTTTCAGCTGTATTTTATTCTAATTAAATACCACTGAAATGGAATTTGTGATTGTACTTAATTCAAACTGTAAAAAAACCCATATGTGACTTGATCATATGTATTGGGAATATACTAGCAACAGCTTACATTTCCAACTGTAGATTTTCAGAAGCACTAGAAGCCAGGTCAACTACTTTCAATGAAAGTGGAGACTTTTTCTGGGCAAAGTGCACACAAGTGGCACCCACCTGTGATCCCAGCACTTGGGAGGCTGAGGCAGGTGGATCTCCATGACTTTGAAGGCAGGCTGGACTACACAGTGAGAACTTTTCTCCAAAATATATATTTAAAAAATGAAAGTGGAGATTCATATGTACAATCATAGATTATGCAAGATCTGAAAGACTTCCCATTGGGTAAAAAATATATAAAAATCTTTTTTGAGGATTTTTGGGTTTTAGTACTGGGGATTGAACTCTGTGCCTTTGTACTGAACTACAACCTCATCTCATTAATTTTTGAGACAGGGTCTCACTGAATCACTAACTCGTCCAGGTTGTGCTCCAACTTTCCATCCTTCTGCCTCAGCCTCCCAGAGTGCTAGGATGACAGATGTGTGCAGCCAACTACTGCTTTGTGTATGAGACAAGGTTTCCCTATGAAGCTCAGTCTCCTGAGTGCTGAGATTACAGGTGTACGCTACCATGCCCAGATCTTTACTTTTATATGTCTTTTGATTTTTTTAGCTTTGGTTTTTTTTTTTGTACCGGGGATTGAACTCGGATCCTTGCGCTTGCTTGCAAGGCAGGCCACCGAACCGCTGAGCTAAATCCCCGGCCCTTGTCTTTTGGGTTTCTGAGATAGCTTTTCATTACGTAGTTCAGGCCTTGAACTCCTGCCAATCCTCCTGAGTGCTGGGATTACAGGCTTGTGCCACCATGCCTGGCTCTTTTTACTTTTTTAAAAAATACTGATACTATGCTGAAAAAGTATTTTGGTTCTACTGGGCAAAATGTATTATTCAAATTAATTTCTGGCCAGGGACAGCGCTCAGTGGCAAAATGCTTGTCTCAGATTGAAAATGCACGTCTCAGATTGAGTTCCATCCCCAGCAATGCAAATCATAATTTCACCTGGTTATCTTAACTTTTAAAAGAATGTGAGTTGGGAGTGCTGCTCCATAGCTGAGCCTAGCACGTGTGAGGCCCTGAATTCCAAACCCAACACTTAAAAAACAAAAAAGAGTTCAGTAGAGCCGGGTGCTGCGGCTCATCCCGCACTCGGGAGGCTGAGGGAGGACCACATAGAGGCTACAAACCACCGAGTTGTGGACCAGAGACCCTGACTCAAAAAAAGGCGCCTCCCCTCTCAAAGAAACCCAACGTGATTACCAAACACCTGGACTGCCAGGCGTGTGGCCCTGTGTGTTCTCCACTGGGCGGTTTCCAGACTCAGGGGCAAGGTCAGGACTCGAACTCCTACTTCTGCACCGGCCACGTGAAATCTCGCGATGTCCCTCGACTGAACCACAGCGGGATTCGAACCAGCCTAGCTGCTCCGCCTACCCTCAGCGGACAAATAAACGTTCGCAACATTCACGACGGGATCGTGAGGCGAGGCGCCGGCATCACTCCCAGAGGGTAACGGTGACTCTCACCTGCCGCCTGACGGCCAGGATGCCAACGCTCCTCCTTCCTTCTCACACCCATTGCGCTGACGCACAACTTCCTCTCCTCTTTGACGAATCTCTAGCCAAGCCTTCCTCGCTTGAAGCCAACCAAACCAATCATCGCTAAGAAACCCACTTTATCCCCGCCCCAATCTCGCTTGCCAATCACCGTGGGCGCGGTACCTCCCTTCCTGCCCTCCTCAGCGAGCGCTCTGCGCCCCCGCTCGGCAGTTAGCGGAGCTGCTCTCTGTGGGAAGCACCTCCCCGGAGGGCGGGAAGAAAGGAGGGCCATGCCAGTGCGGGAACCCTTGGGATTGGTCAAGAGACTTTCCGCGTTTTGACTCCGCCCACCCCAGCCTGGACTTCCGAGTCGGAGACGCTGGGGATTGGTTCCTGACGTACACGCTGAGAGCGAGAGATGGTCCCGCCTCTCTCGCACGACGTAAAGAGGGAGCTTCTCTAATTGGTCTGCAGAGTCTGGGCGCGCTCGGGCTTGAGCCTCAGGATTGGCTGGTAGCATGCTCGCGCTGCCCGGGGAGCGTTGGCGGTGATTGGCCGGAGAACTGGACCGGCTATTTGAAGGCGGCGCGCGGACGAGGTACGCAGTTCTGTCGGCGGCGCAAGGCGGTGGTGGTGTCTCTTCTGCGACGCTACCTTGCTGATCCCTTCTGTCTCCCCCGACCCCGCCGTCGCCGGACCCAGACGTGGGG